AAACCAACCCCCCAAAGGAGGGGGGGGGGGGGGGGGGGGAGGGCAGCCTCTCAGGTTGGAGGGGGGGCTACCTATCTTTCCTTCCTCTCTGGCTTCCCCCACCCCACCCGAGCCTAGCTGGGCAACCCAGTGCTGCCCAGAGGCACCCAAGGAAGGAGGTGTCTGTGGCCCTTTCCTCACTCATGTGGGCCACAAAGTAGAACCTCCATCTTTAAGAATAGTCTATCTGCAGAAGAGGTTCATCTCTCACCAGAATTTCCTGCCTCCTCTGTGATAGCAGAGCACGGCTTCCCAACTTCCACTCCCCCTGGCATCCTAGAAAAGGTTGCTCACTCAGGATAGGACTGGCAGGAACTGAGAGCGTTTTAAGTGTGATCTGAGCACAGTTTTTAAAAATCTTTTTTGGTGGCCAGCAAAGACTTCTCCTCTATTGTCCTGGGCTTGTCCACATGCTGTGGATAAGAAACATCCCTACATTCTTCTTCATTTAAGGATTTATTTGTCCTGTGGTACAGAACTGAGTTCGTGTTAGCCAAAGCATTGATCCTCTATTCTGCCTTCCTTTAAAAAGCTGAAGGGAATGTCAGAAACCATCAACAACAATATCAGGATTCAAAGAGTCATGTTTTAATCACTGCTCTTGATGTTTTATGGCGAAGTTTCCCCTTTGGGGTGGGGGGGTGGGGGAACCAAGAGTTTCTGAACTAAAGGATGGTCAAGTGTCATGAAAGAGAGGAAAGGTAGCCTCAAGTCATCCTAAAGTCAAAACCCACAATGCGGTCGTGGGTGGCAGCAAATTCCCTATAATAATTTATTTAAATCTATCCTCGTTGTGGGAGGGGAATACATTGTTTCTCTGACCTCTTGCTGGTAATCAATTTCAGATTTATCATCACACAAGTGTGTGTGTGGGGGGAAGATCTCCCTTTATCGGCTTTTCCCATAATTCACAAGCTTATTAATATCCCTAACCCAGTCCTAATTATCTACCCATCATCCTCTGCCCTCCCGTTCCATCCCCAGGACAGGTAAAATGGATCAGTCAGGGCTGGCTTTTAAGCTGGACTGCGTTTTGTCTCCTCCAGAAAAACTGGGATCGGCTCGGAAAAGTGGTTTTAAATCAAGGATGGGGAGGCTTTGACTTTCCAGACGTTATCCCATAATAACCCCTGACCTTTCGGCGTTCCTAAGGCTGAAAGGTTTTAAAGAATTCCCCACCTGGGCTTTCAGCGTAGCCGCATCAGTCTTTAGGATAAGCATGGCGGTACAGAGGGATTCATCCAGGCCTCACTGGGGAAAAAAAAGTGTCATTTGGGGAAGGAAATGATGGGATCCTGGGACCTTTTAGCCTCGCCCGGCGCCTGCCTGCATCCTCGAATCCAGTTCTGTTGGCCCCACTCTGGCCCTGTTGCGAAGCAGGAGAACCTGCCCACAGGCAGCATCTATGTCGTAGGATGGACTGCTGCCTTGCCTGACTCCTGGGGCTCCCTTTGAAGACTGGCAGGATCTCAGTCTGTTTCCAAGCAGAGCGAGGTTTGTTCTAACCCCCCCTCCTCACATTAGAAAAGTAAAGAGCCCCCCCCTCCTTTCAACCAACCCATCACCCTGCCAAGTCCTCCAGCCAAAGTTTTCCTTGCCTCGTGGGGCTCTGAAGTGCTTTGTAACTAAGTCGCATTATGTGGGTGGCAACCAGCCTCATTATCTCTCAGCAGAATGCAGGGTCCAGAGCCGTGCGCATGTGCGGAGATTGTGGGGGGGGAGGCGTGCGCAGATGGCCTTGACAAGAAGCCTGGCATTCTCCAGCAACCGCTCAGGAGTACCTGCTGAAGGAGGGACCGGGGGGGGGGCGCGGAGGGCAGGGGGGGGAGACTCAAACCCAGAGCCTCCCTGGTGGAGCCTGCCGGGCGGCCTGTCCCCGGGCGGGCACCCCCTTCGCACCCAAGGGAGGCTTGTTCCCCTTTTACAGACGGGGATGGGTGTTTCCCCCTCCCAAACACCTTCCCTTATCCAGGGGTTGGTGTTGTTTTTTTTTAAAAAGCAAAATAAACATTTGATCTTTTTCTCAGTGACACATCCAATTGATTTTATTTCTGCCCTGCCACCGAATCCAGAAAGATATTTACGACCATTTATGCAAAATGATAACTTTTCCCAGGTTGAGGGGAGAGGAAGCAGGAGGGACATGAATGACCCCCCCTCTTAAGAAGAAGCCCCCACCCTGCCAGGAATTTGCACCTTCCTAAAGTGGTTCTTTCACCTGGCACTGGAATCGAATCCCCGTGAGGACCAGGGCCCAGGGCGGATTGGGTTTCCTCTGCCCTCCGCAGCTCATGGGGTGTCTTTTGAAGGCAGGCAGCCGGAGGACAGGAGGGGTTCGTCTGGAGCCGGCTTTTGTCCAAACCTATACAGTGGATTTCACACCAAACGGGGTGGGGGGGTGTAGGCTAGATGACCACCCAGGCCCCATTTTTAATTCTGACCTGTGGCTTTGCCTAAAATTCTCCCAGCTACACACAAATGGCTTGACTCAAACACAGATCCCTCCAAGACAGCCAAAACAAATCAGGAAAAGTTTGTGTGTCTGTGGAAGGTAGCCCCCCCCTCCAAGTCTTGACGCCCCCCAATAACTGCACAACACTTCACGCTTAGTTGCAGTAAATGGAAGACTAGACTTTATTAAGTTCCAAAGCAACAAATGGTCGTGAGAAATATGGCCATTCTCTGTTTCTTTTCATTTGCTACCAGGTTTTCCCATGGAAAGTAAGGAGTTGGCGGCTGATTATACTGTATATGGTCTCAGCAGCAGACCTTGGAAAAGTTACTTCCCCCCCCCCAAAAAAAGAGGCCATCACCGAAACTGTTGTAATCTAAGAGATGCAGCTTCTTCTAAACTGTGCCGGGCATGGCTTATTTTGGGCGTCCTCCTGATTCGGATTACAGTGCCCATAATCCACCCACCCAGATGTTGAATTATGCTGCCCACACACCTGGAGGACACCTGCCATAAGGGTGTGTGTGTGTGCGTGTGCGTGCGTGCGCGTGTGTGTGTGTGTGTGTGTGTGTGTGTGTGAGTGAGAGAGAGAGAGAGAGAGAGAGGCTCTCCTGCTCTTCCTGGGGGTGTCTCTCAGGTCAAGCAGGCCTTCACCCCCCTCACGAATAGGCAGGAAGTTATCAATCTTTTTTTTTTAAAAAAAATATTGTCCTATTTTTACCTCCAAGAATGCATGGGGGGGGGGAAATTAGGAATGTAGGTTCTTCTGACTTGACTGGTGGAGTAATATTGTGGTCTGAGCACCCTCTGTCTTCATCTGGGGGAGCAAGGGCCCCCTCATTCACTGCTCTGCCTCAAAGTCTTGGGTTCAAATTCCTACTTGGCCACAAAACTCACTGAGGAACATGAGGCTGGACTCTTTTTTTGGGGGGGGGCTTCAGGCTAGTCTACTAGTCTGTGACCTGTGGCACTCCCCCCCCACGCCCCCACCCCCGGGGCCAGCAGGGGCAAGGGGAGGGCCCCTTCCCTTGGCATCTTGGCCTCTCTTAGCCAGGGGCTCCTTGGGGAGGGGGCGCCCTCTTGGCGAGCCCAGGTGGCCGCCGCCCCCCCGCGTCCCCCTTCCCCCA